CATGACCCGAGCCGAAGGCAGAGGCTTTAATCCGCTGAGCCACCCGGCGCCCCGAAGTTGATATCAACTTTTAATCCTACTTTTAGTTACCTAGTCAACCTAATGTCTGACACTCAGCAGCTGATTACCCCATAACTTTATGATACCATTTCTTCTTATATTTTGGGCTAGAAACATCCAGAACCACCATTTGCACATGTTTACACACACTTGTCTTCGAAGTGAAATGTTGCCTCTATTACTCTCTGTCAGCCCATGACCTTCTCTGCCTTCCACACTCACTACCCAAATTTTCTTCCCTAAAGAAGCTTCCCTAGTTGACTCCACCTAGTTCTATCTTCCTTGATGCCCTCTTATACCTTCTTTACTACCTTATGGTCAATGGCACCAATTTACATTCACTGAGAAATTTGGTAAAATTAAATTTTAGGTAAATCATATATATATGCATTGCATGCTAAATTACAAGTTTTTTTGAAGCAGAGTATTGTGTTTCATAAAACGACAGCGCTATAATTAATCTAAAAGATCAACTATTGGGGTAACCGACTGGCTGTCAATAGAACATGTGACTCTTGATCTCGGGGTAGTGAGTTCAAGCCCCGCTTTGGGTGCAGAGATTACTTAAAAATTAAAAAAAGTAAAATTAAACAAATAAATGAAAGATCAACTATTTATTTCACAAGTGAAACAACTGAGGACCAGAGGCATTTAAGTGACTTATCAGAGGTTACATGTGTAATCAGTGGCAAAATTGGGACTGGAACTGCCTGCCCATCTTCTACTGGTACTACTGGAACAAGCCACCTTTACTTTTCTAATCTACTTTTCCTTCCAGCATGTCGGAGATGCCTCTCGCATAAACGAGGTGGTCTCAGGTGGGCCATGTAGAGGCATCAGCGGCAGACCGGTAGGATAGTGTGTTCAAGAGAGAACAATGGGATTGTGAAGTTAGGGCTAAGAGCATTAAATCTCCTGCAAGGTCGACCCCCATGGAGTCAAGGGTTAGAGTGAGCCAGGGTTAGAGGCAAGGCTTCTCTGTCAGTAGAGGAGCTGATGTTCAAGCTGGGATCCTAAAGCAACTGAGGGCGATCGCAGATGAGCAAGCGCAATGCGCATGTGCGGAAGAAGGCAGGAAACCGCAGGCGCAGGGAGCCCACAGTCTGTTGTAAATGAAACAACAGCTTCAGTTTTGAGATCCCATCCACTGGCTCAATCAACAAACGACGTTTTCCCTTTAATACTGTTGGTATTGAACCACAGAGGCTCATTCCAGAGAGAATGAGCCTGAAACTTGAATGTCGTTGATTACAATAGTTTGGGGGAACTAAGTAAGGCAAGGTTAATAGTAGTAGGTTCTGTACGTAGTTTTCACCTAACAAAAGCCAGCAACTGATATTCTGCATAAGATCATGATCAATAGATAGATAAAAAGACAGATACAGATAACCCTGTCCTCACCTTCCTCACATTATCAACTTTACAGAGGATTGTTCAAGTCTGTTGCATACCTATTATATCCCTCAAAGACAACACATGAATCCAAATGGGACTTGGTTGATTATCTGCTAACTGACATAATAGCTTCTGATCACTTCCATCTAGGGTGAAATGGTTTAGATTCTGTATAAAATGTCTTTTGAAATACCTGTAGCTATTCATGGTTCTGTCCCAGTGCATATTTTGCTTGATATCATTCTCCAGAAGTCATTTCACTTCAGAATTGTGCAATTAATGCTAAATTGAGATGGCTAAAATTGTCTTGGTATGACTTAGAGATGATGAATATCTCAAGAGTGTTGCCTGACTGACAGCTGTCAGTTAGGAATGGATCCATAGGATGAACAATTTGAGCGTACACATTTTAGCCCTGGGATTGTACTTATTCTTAATTCATGAGTTGTTTACTATTGCCTGAATAGCTCTACATCCTGAGTCTCTGACTGAGATTTTACCAACCTCTTTCAGTTAGACTTTCCCAGGTCTGAAATCAAACATTCAAAGGCGGTTTCCAGGATTGGAAATGACGGTAGCAAATAGGCTGAGACGTGTAGACAAAAAGCCCTTAAGTGTCATGATCTAATTTTAAAATATGATGCTGAAGAATGTACTAGTGTATTTCAGTGAATGGAAACACCACAGATTAGAAACTTGAATCTATATAGTGCACACAGATTGATGATGCTTGTCTGGCTCGATTCATTAAGTTGTCCTAAGAAGTAATTTTCAAATGGAAAGTTTTGTTATTATTCAGAGAGCCTAAGTAAGATTTTTCGAAGAGATTCCAAGGTAAGAAAGGGTGTTAACTATTGCCTGAGTCAGCACCAAATCTAATGTGGAAAACCATGAAGTACTCAGCCAAAGAGAGGCAATGACGTCACAGAGTCTACCAGGCCCCTAGTAAACGTTTATAATTGAACAATATAAACAGGAAGAGAAGGCTAGAAACATACACCCTCTGTGTGCATTTAAAACACTGTAATGTATGTCCTCAACCTGCAGAACAACAAAATGAGGAAACACATTTTCATTAAATTTTAAATGAGAAGAATTCTATTTTGATTATTTAGTAAAAATCAATACTCAAATATTGTCCAGGCCAAGTCTTTTGCTACGATGCAACTGGTGTCCACCAGGAGCAAGTTTGCCCCCCAGGGGACATTTAACTATGTTTAGTGACATTTTTAATTGTCCCAACTAGGGAGTGCTATTGACATCTAGTGGGTAGAGGCCAGGGATGCTGCTAAGTATTCTACCAATGCAAAAGACAGCACCTCACAATGAAGAATTTTCTGGCCCAAAATACCAATACTGCCTGCTCCAGTGTGTGGTAGAGGCACTCTATGTTCACTCCTGGGTTTTCCATCAATATACCTATACGAGATTCTTATTCCAGATTCACTGTCTTGGCTTAAAATAAGAAAGAAGTGATATTCTTTAAAAAAAAAAAAAAAGAAGAAGAAGTCTGAAATTGTTCCTTCAGAAAAATAACTATTTTAGTAAAAGGTAATATAGTCTCAGTAAAATGAGAAGTTATTTTGAAGTTTTACATGGATAATTTGAGATTAAAGATACAACAAATGTATATTTTGTTGAAGACTACTTCCTGGCAATCGGCCTACTGATTGTATATATCTGCAATAATCAGCTCAGGCAAAATGCTCAAAGCTAACAAAATAACCTCAGGATAACTTTGAAAACTCAGTGTCAAGAGCTAAACTTTATGCTGGACAATTCTCAAAGCAAGTTCCTCAGCTTTATAGTTCAGAAGTTGCCTATGGATTCCCCCTTCGGATATTGCTCTTGATATGTCCCTCAGAATCCTTTTAGGAAACACTATTTCTAAAATAAATAAAAGGGGCACCTGGGTGGCTCAGTGGGTTAAAGCCTCTGCCAGCGGCTCCGGTCATGATCCCAGGGTCCTGGGATAGAACCCCACAATGGGCTCTCTGCTCAGCAGGGAACCTGCTTCCCCTCCTCTCTCTCTCTGCCTGCCTCTCTGCCTACTTATGATCTCTGTATGTCAAATAAAATAAAATAAAATAAAATAAATAATCATTAACCACTTAAAACATTTCAAGTATTATTACAAAGAATAAGCACTTAATAAACACTTAATGAGAATTAAATGAGTGTTCAAATTCAGTTAACCATAAACATTTCTACTAAAATAACAATGTCTTCATTAAATAAATCTACTGACATACAAAGGACTTGTAAAGTCCAATACCTTTTTTTTTCCTTTCGTGGTATTAATTACCTCTACAGGAAAAAAGAAAAGTAGTGTTAATATAAACCTTGAGCCACGATTTAGAAATTGGCTTTTTTTTCTTTTTTTTTAAGATTTTTTTATTTATTTATTTGGCAGACAGAGATCACAAGTAGGCAGAGAAGCAGGCAGAGAGGGGGGGAAGCAGGCTCCCTGCTGAGCAGAGAGCCCGATGTGGGGCTCGTGGAACTCAACCCCAGGACCCTGAGATCATGACCTGAGCTGAAAGCAGAGGCTTTAACCCACTGAGCCACCCAGGTGCCCGTAGAAATAGGCTTCTTATGTTGAAGTCAATGATATAGAGATATGTAATTTAAATAGATTCTACATGTAGAGTGATTAGGAGGCATTAACCTCACAAGACAATTTCTCCCGGGAACGTGCTGTACAGTTGTTTTAAAAATAAATTATTACACACTACAAAATAAGAATGACATAGCCTGGTTAAAAGAGAAAGCATTGCATGGAAATGTTCTTTACATTTGCAAGCTTTTTTTTCTCTGCTGATTAAAGTCATCATCATATGAATGGCAGCCATTCAGTAATCACCTATTATGTACTAGAACCAGACATTCAGATTGCTCAGGGCTGGACATCACTGCTACCTTGCTGAATAGATATTTTCCCCCAGAAAACCAAAGCTCAGCCAAGAGCAGGCACCTACACAACTAACAATTTGAATCAGACTATGATTCAAACCCAGGAAGGCTTTACTCCACAACCAATGACCTATTGTGGTCTCCACTTGTAGTAAAACTCACAAGCTCAAGAAAATTTAAGATTTGTTTTTTATTCCTTTGTATTTATTCTTTGCACAATATCCTATCATTCCAGTGCCTAAACTCAGATCACAAAAGATTGCTATAGCTACATTTTTTTAATTCTTGCCTTATAGTTAATTACACAATGGCATTTTGCCCCTTGTACTTCTGTTCTTTTCTCAGTCCCAAGTCACTGAGGGAAAAAAAATTTTTTTCGTTTGTAATATATCTCCTGGTTTCTTTCTAGTAGTGTGACTTTGATCAGCTCAGACATTTGTCAGTTCACACACACCGTCATTTGTAGACTGTTGCCGGACATAGAAAAAAAGATGTTTAGAGTCAACAAGAAGAGCTTGTATGTTCTCTGTCTGAAACTTTTGCTCACTGCTCAGCTTTGTCTGTGTTCACGCTGGGGTGTGTGTGTCTGCTGTGGCAGGGCAGAGCGGGGTAGTGGGGGGGGTGTAAAGAAGGATACTAAGACTTTTAGAGGAGGAGGGTGGGAGGAGAGATTCTGAGAAACAGAAAGGAAGAAAGAAAAGAAAAGGGAATGGAAAGAGAGGGAGAGGAAATGAGAGAGGAAGGAGGGAGGACTGCTTTGTAGCTGCTAAGATTGCAGACAGAAATAGCACACAACCACCGTGAGCTGTGTGCAACTCAGAAACCAAGACCAAATTGTACTCACTTTTATTAATCAGTTGCTCACAAAGAAGGAAATGACATCTGGTCCTGTCTTCTTCTACATCTTAATTTTGGGTAAATACTGTAAGTATGCTCACTACTTAATTTTATATACCTTAATAATATTGTATGAATTAATCACAATTACAAATGTTTATTACTTACATTTATGCTTTTAATATAAACTGTTTTTTTCTGATAAAATTGTAATCTTACTTCAGAATTATTCTTAAGTCATTTCTGGTATTTATATTGGAAACTGGAATATATTGGCAGAGGCAGTAATTAAGCAAGATTAACATGACATACAAACCTATGCTTCCTAACAACCAATTTGTTTAAGCAACAATTATTTTATAAATAATTTGATACTATTTCAAGAGAAGTAGTCTTTAAAGAGATTGTGTTCAAGTAAGATCCCCATGTGAAATATCTGGTAAAGTCTACATTTATTCTGGTTTATGTGTAGTTTTAATGCTTCGTGGCCCCAGTCTTTGTGATTTGATATCATAGGTGTGCCTTCTCACTGAGAAATGCATTCATAAAACTCCTTTTTTATTTAAAAAAGATCTCTCACTTTTCCTTGAAAGAAGAGCAGAGAAAAGCACAAAGCAATGAAAAGCACAGACCAGGAGCCCAAATGGGCATTTTTTGTTATAATGACGATTCTTGCTCTCTCTTTGTGTGCTATAGTTTACTTTTCAGGAAAAAAAAAATGTAAATCAAGAGAGTCATTTTGCATTCAACCTTACTTAAATGGTATTATGTAAGTAGAAATAAAATGTTTATATTTCCTAGATAATAACTGATGAGAAAGCCAAAACATATTAAGAAGGAAAACTTTCTGTGGATCTGTAATACCTTCTGATGCTGGGAGGGATTAAGCTTTAACAAATTTAGAATTCACATGCATATTTACATCCCTTGATCTCTTAAAAGTTTGCAGAAGTCGGTTTTTACTAAGATAGTCTATTGACAATGCCTCCAAGTAAATTTCCCTCTGAACTCTCCCAGTTCTGATGCCATGTCCTGCATCAAAGTGATTTTTCTTTTTTCCTCTCCTCCCTTGACCTCCAGTATGCTTTACTTTAATGGTCATATGGGAGAGACAGCTTCAAAACCAAGGCAACAATTCAGAATCCTGAAGAAACATTCTAGCTCCTAGCTTTCTCTGCCTCTAATCTTGGTAACTATGATTTCATTTTTCATTCCAGTTTTATTTAGAAATAATTGACATACATCATTGGAGAAGTTTAAGTCAAAAAGAATGATGGTTTGATTTATATATATCGTGAAATGATTATACAACAGGCTCAGCTAACATCTGTCTTCTTATATAGATACAATATAAAGGAAAAGAGAAAAGAATAAAGGGGAACAAATTGTTTCCTTGTGATCAGAACTCAGGATTTACTCTCTTGAGACCTGTCCTGTACATCAATCACACTGAAGTGGTGGCTGTCATCATCTTGTTGGACATGACGTCCTTAGCACTTACTTCTCTTGTAGCTGGAAGCTTATATCTTTTGACCACCTTCCTTCACTTCTGCCAGCCTCCACCCCTCCCCCATTATTTCTGGTAACCACAAGTGTTATCTTTTTTTTCCATGAATTTATTTTGAGACTTTCCTTTTTTTTTTTTAAGGTTCCACATATAAGTGAGATCATACAGTATTTGTCTTTCACTGTCTGCCTTATTTCACTAAGCATAATGCCTTCAAGGTCCCTCCATGTGTCATAAATACTAGAATTTTCTCGTTTTTATCACTGAATAATATCCCATAGTGTTTGTGTATATACACACACATATGTATATGTATATATGCTTATATATATGCCACCACTTCTTTATTCCCTCAACCATGGATGGACATGTAGGTTGTTTCCATGTCTTGGCTATTGTAAATAATGCTGCTATGAATACCAGGGTGCATATTAACAAGTGCATCATATTAACGAGTTAGGGTTTTCATTACCTTTAGATATATTTCCAGAAGCGCAGTTGCTGGATCATGTAATAGTTCTATTCTTAATTTTTTGAGGATACTTCCATAGTGGCTATGCCAGTTTGCAATTCCACCAACAGCGTTCAGGGATTCTCTTTTCTCCACATCCATGCAGGCTTTCTTATCTCTTGTCCTTTTAATGACAGCCATTCCAAAAGGTATGAGGTGGTATCTCATTGTTGTTTTGATTCACATTTTCCTGGCATAGGACTAGTGATGTTGAGCATCTTTTCATGTACCTATTGGCCCTACGTATGTCTTCTTTGGAGAAATATCTATTCAGGTCCTTTGCCCATTTTTTAATTGGGTTATTTGGCTTTTTGCTATTGAGCTATGTGAGTTCTTGTTATGTTTTGGATATTAAGCCCAGGTCAGATATACAATTTGCAAATCTTTTTCCCATTCTGAATGTTTTCTTCTCATTTTGTTGATGGTTCTCTTTGCTGTGCAGAAGCTTGTTAGTTTGGTGTAGTTCCACTTGTTTCTCTTTTATTGTCTTGTTTGTGCTTCAGGTGCCATACCCAAAAAATCATTACCAAAATCCATACCCAAGAGCTTTGTTTCTATGTTTTTTCCTAGAAGTTTCATGGTTTCAGTCCTACATTTAAGACCCATTACCCATTTTCTTAAGTAGAGGATCAAAATCCAAATTGCAAACCATCACTAAAAATTGAATGTTTCTCATTACAATCCAAGCATTTAAGCTACCAGAGTTTTTAATATTTGTAGCCAAAACACTCGTAAATCAATAACATTTTACTGTTTCCTATTCCATTTCAGTGAAATGAATAGGTTAAATAAACTAAAGGAATACTTCCAAGTTAAGCATTCTAATATGGAAAATGGAATTCTAATATGAGGAATTCAAGGATATGTAAAAAGTGCTCATAGCAGGTTGAAAAGCAACTTTAGCTAATGTGTTACTAGCCAATTCAGCTGAGTAAAAGAAAGTTCCCTGTTTACATATTCTCTTTTGTTAAAAAAAATTACTTTCATGAATAGAAAATAAAAAGTAAATGATAATGATGATGATGTCAAAACCTTCCAACTTTTTAAAATTTAAGTTATCTTGTGATTTAAAAAAATTTTTTTTTGACATTGTAGTGTGAGTAAGTACTTAAAGAGTCCAATTTCTCATCCTTCCACACCATCTGCAAAAGATAAAGGTACAAACATCTGATGCAGAGTTTGGCAAGCAGGATTCCTGGCTATAGGGTGTCAAAGGAGTGGGGAGGGTAGAAGGGCATTTGGCAGGAACCTCCAATTAACAACCAACACCCATAATTCACTTCCTACTTTATCTCACCATTCAGCTCCACCAAGAGGATTTTCTATGCCCAAAGCAAAAGAAGTCAACAACTATGTAGGGACAAATCTTAAATCTCTGTAACTACCGTATGTTGGTTATTGTTTGTTTGTGTTTGTTTGTTTGTTTGTTTTTTAATCCACTCTCCTACTGCCTGAGAAAGGCTATGGGATCTCCTAGAAGACTGCTTGCTCAGGGTGCTTTGGAGCACCCCCACGTATTGGTCCTAAGATTTGCAGCAATGACTTACCTTCGCGAGCCTTAGTTTGTAAAATTGCAATAAAATTTTTCACCCTACCTACACCCCAGAGCCCTTATGTTTGCTTTTTTAATACATAAATTACCTCCTTGAATCCTTAGAACAACTCTATTATGTAGAATGAAACACACAACGAAGGCAAGACCCAAGGACATTCAGTACCTTGTCACAAGATTCAGGCTCTTAAATAACAAGACTTGAGATTTGAATGCTTTTAAAGCCTATACTCTTTCCACTAGACCATGAACACTCTGAGAGATCGTGTGTGTAAAGACAATAGCAATTATTAGTTATCTTTTCAACCAAAAGTACTTATTGAATGCCAGTTACCTTAATAAGCATGAGACTTAAGGGTGACTACAGCATGATCCGTGCTCTGAAAGGGAGAATGGAGAAGACAGAAAGTTAATCTAGGATTACCAGTGAGACAAGGGCAAAAACCTAAGTGTACACAGGTTGGGGCAACATTAAGATTTAGAAAAGGTTTTCTTTCACCCTTGAGACTTTCTAATTCTCCAAAAATTCCTCTGTCTGTAGTCTAGTTAGCTATATTGTGCCAGTGTTGATTTATTAGTTTTGATAATGTACTGTGGTTATGTAATATTTTACCATTAGGGGAAGTTGGGTAAAGAGTACATAGGACCTCTCTGTGCTATTTTTGCAACTTCTTGGGAGTCTATAATATTTCAAAATTAAGAGTTAAAAAACAATCCCCAAGAAGAATTGTATCTGAAATCCTTATCAGCAAATGCTTTACTTATTACCTAAATAGTATCATTAAACAAAAACAATCATTTTACTTAATACTTCAGAGAGACAGGGAACCAGTGAGGAAATAGGAAACAGAAGAAGCCCAAACATAAACTTGATCCACTGCAGTGTTTGCCAAGAACTGATCCAGCTGGGAAAGTCCTCACTTTTAGATTCCAAATGGATATTCACAAGACCATCTGGGCTTCTTCTTAGGTCTTACAACAGGTATATCTTCTAGCAATTTTTCTCTAACCATTAAGAAGGAGAAAGGAAGAGGTTTCCCCAGAACAGACCATCAGGATATGAAAAAAAGAGAATACTGACCTATTTACCCACCTCCAAAAGATGAGAGAATAAACTCTCCAATATGCAGATTACAGAATTATCTATTATTCCACTCAATATTTTTGAAGGTTACTAATACTTTTGTATTGTTCTTTCTTTGAGTTTGGAATCATATTTTTAAATTTTAAATAGAAAATTAATAAGTCTGTGCAAATACATCATCATTATCTGCATAAAGGGAAACAAAGTACTGCATTTGTGAACAAATAGTTTTCCGAACATAATTTCACACTTTAGGACAAACTTATTAAACTGAAATGTACTTGGAATTGGGTGATCTACTTAGGTTGCCTTTTTTAAATTTTTTGTTTTGTCTGAAAAATTATAAACAAAATATACCATTTTGATTTCAAGCACTATGATTGTGGTTATAATTGTAGTTGTTATATTTACCATTTAATGAGAGCTTTCCATG